CTAAAAAAAGGAAAAGTTTTAAAAATTTATATGCCTGAATAATTATAATTTTTTCTCACCATTTTAGATTATAGAAAGTCATTATTATAGGTATCTGATTTCTGTAATTTTTCTCCTGGTAGAGTCTTCCGAGAAATAAAATGTGTTATATTAATATTTATAGATAAAGTATATAGCATTATGTAGATATTTTCATAATATATACATAATTATACACAAATAAATCATGATAATATAATTTGTCAATATACCTATTTTCAATGAATAATATTGTATTGTTTTTTCAATTTGACAATCACAGGTTGTTCAAACAATTTTTCTGTCAGATACTAACTCATTTCATTAAATGGTTCACCCTGTATTTAATTGATGTATTTGAAGATATTTTCTCAAGAGTTAATTTCATCAATTTATCACACTTGGAGTCTAATTGGAATGTTCTTACAGATATATATATAAATAGGATGTGATTAAATAATCATTATTGTAATCATCCTGTATCTATTGGAATTATTAAACGTTATAAGCTAATAATTAAAAATTAGATATTAGAACACATAGATCGATTCTACTATCAATAAAAGGTTTAGAACAAAACTATACCCTTACATTAAAAAACCTCTGTTTTCAACACCCTATATAAATATATCTGTAATCACATCCAGTAAACTGCAAATGTGATATATTAATTAAATCTTATATCTTCAGAAACAATTTAAAAATATGAAATACATCAAATTTTGTCATTCAAAATAAATCAACTTCTATTTGCTTATTAATCATTTGTTCCGAACACTCTGTATTATTTTATGTAGGTAAAGAAATGTATCACATATCATATCTGCTGGTTTATCACATTTTTTAATACATTCAATTATAACTTTGCCAGAGGGGAATATACATTTATGATGGATCACCCTGTATATCCATTTCAGCAAATGCACATTAATATGAAATATCGAACTATTGATAAATCATATTGATGACAAAATAGAATCATCAATAAATGAAATCAACAAAAAATTAACACCGCAACGTGTATAATGTTATAAAAACAGTACCCATTTTCAATTCGCAAAATATCTATAAGTAGGTACTACACGTTGATTTTAAATCATTATAAATTTGTATAATATTGATTGATATAATTAATAGATAATTAAAAATGACAACATTCGATACACTGAATAGTAAATTAATTTTAAAATATGCAACAATTAGAATCCATTTTGTTACAAAGCGTGGCGTCCTCATTATAAGGGTTGATACATGAACAAAACATCCAAATGTATCTACTTCTTAATTAATCCATCATGGGTTTTTTTAAATAAATTATTCGATTAAATTAGTAGTAAAAAGTAAATGTGTTAAAATATTCAAATCATTTTTATTCAATTTGTGTACTTACATTTACCAGAATGATATTTTTTGCATACCATGTTGCTTAGTCGAAGGCACAATTCGAAAAGAAATAATTTCACCACAGGTAGCGGGAAGAGGCGAAAAGGGGTGACACTTGTTGAAGGTCAATTATTTCATATGTTACTTATTGGCATAGAACGCACGATACAGTACGTTCATACAAACATTGTATCATAACATATTAGATTTCGTTAAAAATCTTTGTTTAATATTTGCACCATTTTCAATATATACTAATAAAGTAAATTTACATTCAATTATAAATCACCAAGAAAGTTGACTCCATGTCATTATCAACAGTTCGAGAGTGTATGTGCATTGAGAAGCATTTTCAGGCAAGCAATTTACCAAAGATATTTGGGTTGCTGAGCAGTGACCACCGCCATATAGACTAATCTAGACCGCCAATTCCATAAGTAAAAATGTGAGCCACTCAGGAGATCGAATTGGTAACTGATTCATGTGCATTTAGGATGTCATGTCACTCAATAATCCGAGAAACATATGCTCATTGAAGGCAAAAGGTTGGGAGTGGTCTTTTATGGAAGGTTGTAATCATACATAAAGTAGTCAGAAACGGATGAAATATTGTGAAATATGCTGTATTCAGGTCTCATAGCATGAGAATAGTCAGATTTGAGAACTTTATTTCAAAAAACGGCTAATTCATTATAACAGTGCTTTCTGAAAGTTATCATTTAATATGAAAAGGACAGTCATATTATATATGTATAGCTATGTTTTTATCAGATGCCTAATAAATCTCGAGAACAATTAGTGGTTGTATCAATTTCAAAAGTCACAAGTGTTGTTCAATTTATCAATTTACTTACCTACTCAAATCATACATCCTGATTCCTGAGTGGTAAACATTGAAGAAGTTAATTTCTACAATTTTTACTATGTTCATAGGACATCATGAGTAGGTACACTACCTAGGGAGGATAGGGAAGGGAAGTATGGTATTCGGATTTTCATTTTGGAGACTTCGAAAGTTCTTGGAAATTGTTCCTTCAGACAAAGATTTTCAAATCTAATTTGCTGTTTTATGGAAAAACGAGTTCTGATAGAGAGATATTTAATATATAATATATCGAGATTGCTGATGAAAGTATGTGCTGGGCTTGTCGAGTTTGTCTGACTGGTATTATATTATAGATTCAATCAAAACCAAGGTTTCTGAAAAATATTTCCCATGGAAGTATCTATTGAAAAGTGGAAGTCGTCTTGGATTCCTATATAGTGTGTCAATGATGTGGAGGTGAGGAATTGAATAATTCGTTGAATTATGCTGATATGACAACTATTGGAGTACTCCAGGGAAGTATAATCTGGGACCAATTCTATTTCTTGTTTTCATTAACAATATTATTGATGTGCTAGATGCAAGTGATTCTTCAATAATAATATTATTTGCCGATGACACTAGGGCAGCATTCGCCGCCAAAAAAACTAATTTCATGAACACGCCAATAAGAATCAAACCAGAATATAGTTTTCTGCTGAAATGCGACGGTGAAGGCATCATATTCCAGCTGAGAAAGTAAACTTTCTGCGACATAGCCCATTTCGAGGCTCATTTGATGAAAAACATAGCCAGTTAGTAATTTTACTGTCTATCTATTTAATTTCACTTTACTATGTCCATTTTAATCTATGTCCCATAATAGTTGACCACTTTCTAGAATAACACCTCAGAAGTGTTTGCATTCTCATAATCATGTGCAATGCCACTATACTTCTGCGATTCGAACGGAAGAAATGTCTGATTGTAAAGAAAGTTTGTTCATTTCACATGCAATCAACAAAATTTCAAACAAATATAGGGGTTCACCCATTCTGAAATTATGTTGTCCATTTCTGAAATCGAACCAACCAATTCTGAAATCGATTTTACCTTTTCCGAAATAGAACTCACCGATTCCGAAATTGCAGTTGAAAAGGTATAGATAGTATTAATGTCACTGCTTGTATCATTGAATTTTGACATGATTGGTTGTGTGAACAAGTTAGCTTGGAAATTGTACTCACCTCAAGTGAGTCATTCATCGAATACCCTTTTCAGGTTAGGGGAGAGTGACCAACAGTGAGACACGTTTTTTTCAAGCTGATCTATTCGGTTTATTTTCGAGACAAATAATGTATTTTTTTGCCATCATCAAGCTGAAGGCTTTTATTCAAAGATATCTGGAACATTTTGTCGGATTTTTTAAAAATGTAAATTTTAATTGCCATGAATATCAGAAGATACATTTGTCTCACTGTTGGTAAGCAGTGTCCAACTGTGAGACGTCTCACATCCAACAGTGAGACAATATGCATGTTGTCAAAATAATAATGATATATTATAATTTCAGTTGCTCAAATATTTTATTTCGATTTTATTCCGTAGAACAAGTGAAACAAGATTAAGGTTGAAATATATTTAGCGAATATCCACTGAGCTGAAATCTATTTCGAAGGTAAAAGATGATTTTTGACGAGATGTGTGTCCACAAAGAATTGGCGGTGGCATGATGAATTTGATATCTGTTACAGGAACCACAGCTTCATCAGCAATGTCCGGGAATACGAACTTATTCTTTCCTTTTATTTGGTTTCTCAGGAATGAGATTTCACACTCTTTTGTAGACTCTATTATTTTAAGAACTTTCCCAACGAAATAAACTTTTCTTTTATCTGTTTTTCCAGCGAATTCTACGAGAACAAACTCATCTTCTGTAGGATTTCTTTGCTGGTCCTGAAATCCATCTGGATCAATTCGAATGAAACCTTCATCCCCTGATGATGAATCTAAAATCGGTTCTTTCTCCGAGCTCTCCGAATCTTCATCAAACACTTTTTTCTTCACTTCTCGCAACTTTGATTCATTTACTTTATCTTTCTTGCTAATCTTGAGTGCTTTACCTTTGCTTATTTCTTCTATCGCATCCTTTTCAGGAGTGTCCGTGGCTATGATACTTTTTCCTTTTCTTCGTGTGTTTTTTGTCTTACGAGCTTCTGCTTTCGGATATCCTCTGAATTCAACAGGACTTTTGAAAATATTCGTATCTTGCTCCTGTGCTATAATATTTCTGTCATTCTGGGAAATGACAACATCTGCGGAAGTGGAGGTGTTAGAAGAAACGTCATTATTTTCATTATTTGTATTTTCCTGTGGAATTTGGCGATCAGTGACCTCACTTGGCATGAAATCCACATCCGTAAAAACATGTTCATCAATTGGGTAGATCCCACATTTCTTGAATGCATTAATTATGTTACTTGGTGTGCATCCCTTTTCATGGGCAATTCCAACGCATGCAGCTACCTCATAGATCGATAGTGGTTTACCTGGATGTTGCATCATCCAGCTATCGATGGATGCATTGTATGCTGTTGAAAAGGCCTTAAAAACTCCAACATCTAATCAAGGGCGGTCATATATCTTGATTCTGGGGGGGGGGGGGCATTTTGTACAATTACATATCAGTCATTAATTCCAATTCAATCAGAAAACACAGAATGGAATATTATTTTTATATTACATATTTAAAATAAAAATCATTCGAATGAAATAATTAACAGAAACTAATATTTTACATGACGAACTCCATGTTTCGTCTCACCCCACTATTAGCGAAACGTTCTATAACATTAGATTCGTTGATGACAATGTCCTTATGGACGACATGCATTAGTGCAAGGCCACTCAAACGATCTTCACCCATATTGGCCCTCAGCCAACTCTTAAGTCTTCTCAGTCCTGAAAAACTCCTCTCTGCAGATGCAACACTCACTGGAAGAGTACACAGTATTTTCAAAATGTCATGAATGATTGGATACATCATTTTATCACATTGATTGAGAGCATTCAGTCCATCGCTGGGAATTTCCAATTCTTTGCTGTGTATCCATCTCATTTTCCATAAATGCAGCTCTGCAATGAAAGTTGACTTCAGCACGTCTCTACATGTCTCAAACAAACTTCCATATTTTTCAATCAAAATTTCTACGGCGGAATGGATGCCATCTTCATTTGAATTAATTAATATAACAGGAACACATATTTGCAGATTGAATAAATCCATAGTTTCTTGCTGGAAACGACACTCAATGTCGGAAATAATACTTTCAAGTAAAGGAATATATATCGTTATTCTGAAGTAGTCTGTGGAGGAATGAATATCTGGATTAGGTCGATTTTTCATGAATTTATTCACTCTTGGAATGCATAAATCTATATTCAAATTTTCTAGACAAGGCATTATTTCTTTAAGCAAAGCATTGAAATTGGATTCTGCATTGTTGCGTTTGTCTTTCAAAACAAGCAGAGTATTTAGAACAGCATTCTGTGTGGAGCTTATATCCAAATTTTTTGTTGCAATAATTTGCTTAGAGGTAACGTTATTGCGAGTACTTCATTCAGACAAAACAAAGTGATAATAAAGCTGCAATTTGATGAGATCGCAAGTATATGCGACTTAGCTTTACTGGAAGATTCTCTTTCATTCCATTCGGAAATCAAAGTCAAAGCTTGCAACATTTTTTCAATCGATGCTTTGAACTGCAGAACGGAGTCGTGTCGTTCTATTTATCGCGTTTCACACAATCCAGAGAGCTGATCACCCAATGTTTGTTTGAGGACATAATTGCGTTTAGAAGAGGCTTTGAAAAAAGATATTATTTCCTTAATTACCCCTACAGCATTTCTCACACTCTGAACGTTTGATGATTTCGACAAACTCAAATTTAAAGCATGATTGAAACATGGACATCGTACAGCTACCTTCATTTTTTTCTGAGCTTCTTGGACTGCTCCTTGTTGTTTTGATGTCATCACACTGCAACCGTCTGTACAAATTCCTACACAATTTTCCAATGGTAAACCAAATTTCTGAACTTGTTTTATCACTGTTTTTCCCAAAATAGTACCATTCAAAACCGGTTCCAAAGTATCGGGACTCAGCTCATAGTTTTCAGAATGACAATCTATGAATGATACAAAATCCTCCCGCACATTGTTACCTTCTAAGTATCTGATAACAATCGACATTTGGGAAACATGTGCAATGTCAGTGGTTTCGTCAAACATAATGCTGTAATATTTAGCATCACCAATTTTTTTCACGATAACAGACAAAATTTCTTTACAACATTCGATCAACTCATTTTGCGTTCTTTTGCTAATATATGTGGCACGTGACGACGTGTTTCTTAAATGCTCTTCTAAAGTTTTGTCTCCTGCTTCGATTCTGAATCTAAGAAGCTCTCGGAAGTTTCCCTCATTATTTGTCACATTGCTTTCTTCTAACAATGGCCCGTCATCTCGATGGCCTCGGAAAGGTATACCTTGTTTGGCTAAGAAAATTATAGATCGAATGATTGGTATGAGCCGATTTCGATTATCCTCTATCTGCCTGGCTCGAGCACTATCTATCAAATTTCTTATATCTGAAGATCGGTTTTCGTAACATCCCATAAAATTATCGCTCGATAAAACCGATTCGATATGATATCGATTTGAATTATGTTTATCTAGCACACCATCCATTCCAAATAATTTTGCAAATTTTGTAACTGGTGTGGTAACCAAACCTTGCAAACTTGTCGCTTTATTTTTACCACCTGAATTTGCAAAGATAGCACAGTGCTTACAAAAAAGTCCTTTCTTCAAGTCCGAAAACGCAATCCAGCTATATTTTTGGAGATGGTCGTATCTCAAGTACCGCTTAACTAATTTGTTATTTTTGTTATGTTCAGAAAATGGAAATGAGTAGTTTTTTCCGGAACCCACGTATTTTTCAAATAATTATATTTTTGAAAGTCCAGCAAACCATTCAAACAATCAACAGCTCGACCAATGTCGTAGTTCCCAACTTCATTGGACTCTTCCGCAGCAACTTTCTTTGGAGAATTATCAGTAATAACTGATGTTTGTGATGTTGATTCTGTTGTACGTGTCTCTGGAACTACAAATGTCTGTTGAGAAGATGATGATGAAGATGACCGGGATGACTCATCATCATCCACACCTTTCATTACTTTCTTTGGAACAACAGAAAAATACGAATTCAACGTATTCGTACTGTTTGTCCTCTTCATTTTCTGAAAAAAATAAAAAATGAACATTCGTGATCCCGGCGAAACGAGAGATGGATACGCCCAGGTCTTTTAATTTGAGCCTATTTTGTTCATTTGTTGTCACTTTACGGTTAGATCGGAATTTACTAACTTTGTAATTTCGAAATGACATCCTGAAATGAACACCTGCGGGCTGGGCGAGAGAGAATTGCATATTACCCCTTCCATTAGCAAATTGAAAATTATTCATAACATCTATGAATTTTCACTCACCTGTGAATCTGTCACCCTGGAATGAAATGATGAAGAAAAAATGGAAACGAAAACAGAACGTCCAAATTTCCACACAATACACAACGATATAACTTCTAACAACCTACAGCGAGCCAAGCGTACCCTTATGTTTCTATTGAAACAAAATCACTGGACGTCGCCTGTGCCGGGATTCGCGCGGGAGGCGTTGCATTTGCATTGGCGTAGCCAGAGTGAAGATGCAGATATGATTGATGATCATTATTGCAGAATGCAGATTGCAGTAGGTATTTCGATCTCCGTATATGAATCCGTTGAAATAATTAATTTACAAAGTAATCATTTAAAATATATCGATTTAGGCCATTTAAGGTGTCACCATAGTATCTAGTATCCTGTGTTACTGAACACTAGACCAGGCCGGTCGAACAGAATGTATCCTAAGTGCATTGCCCCTTTTGGGGGGGGCCATGGCCCCCCCCTTATGACCGCCCTTGCATCTAATGGTTGCATTTTATTTGAGGAATGGGGTGGAATTGTCAAAACTGTTACCCCATTTGTTTTGGCAAAATTGAGAACAGCAATACTGAGATGGCTTTCATGATTGTCATAAATCAGATGTGATGGATTTTCTCTTGAGCTATTCGAATATTTTATGAAATGTTTCATTACTTCTACAAACAGATCTGCGTTCATCCATCCACTTGGAGCAGCAAGTCCCAATGTACCAGGTGGAGCTCCTCGAATCATATGGTCTTTAAAATGAGTTCTAGGAAACACCATCGCTGGCGGTAAGTATTGCCCTGTAGCATTTACAATGCAACAAGTGGTAACAAGGGTACCTCTTTCACCACTTGTTACCTTGTTCACTTGCTTCACTCCCTTAATTGCCAATACTTTCTGAGATTTTTGAACGGTTACAGTTCCAGTCTCATCTAAGTTGAAAACTCTTTTTCCGTCAGCAAAATTTGAACTTCTTGAGTATATTTCCTTCAGATTCTCGTAAAAAATCGACACATTGTGTCGGTTGAAAGATGTTGCACGAGACAAACTGCATCCTTCAGGTGTTCTTAGTGACAATCCATTATGTCTTTGGCGAAAACCTCGATACCATTTCAGCCCAGCCATTTTATTTTCATTCCATTTGTCAGGTACTTTCTTTTTGTTTTCAACAGCCATTTCATACGCAAGTTTTCTACAGTCAGTGACTGTGAGACCATAGAACATTCGTGAGCAATCTATTATATATTTTTCCAGGGAAGCTTCCTCTGCATCATTGAATATTTTATTCACATGATAGTTTGGGGACATTCTGATCCCGACGACATGTTCAACCTGTTTAGCTTTTTTAACATATCTAGCTAAAGTTTGAAATGCAATGTCTTTTGAAGCAGCCACTTTCCTGAGGCTTCCCCCGTCTAAAACAAGATTTACTGCCTCCCGCATAATGTCCTCTGAGCAATTTCCAATTTTTCGTTTTTTTGACTCCATACTGATCTGAAGAGAACAAATGAAGAGTAAAAAAAATGATAATAAAAGTGTGAGTCCAACAGTGAGACATGTCTCACTGTTGGGCATGTCAATTTGTCTCACTGTCAGACATGCATACTAAATCGCCATTTTGTAACACAACTCTGGTAAATGAGAATATAACGAAATTAATGAGGTATATTTGCAAACTAACTAAATGAACATACCTTTGTTCCAATCCGATCACGAAATTACTTCTGTATCTGTCGTATAATCACAAAATGAAGCAACGACAAAAATTTACTTTCACGCAATGGAATCATGTACGCTTCGACATCAGATAAAACACTGGCCGCAACATTCTGTGTACTGGTATGTAATGACCACTCATCAGTGTGACTCAAACTCACCAATGCGCAGAGAATTTAGTCACGTGATAAGAGGGGGAAACTGAATGTCTCACTGTGGGACCTGTCTCATTGTTGGGCACTTTTCCCTACATGAGAGAAAATCAATGACAAAAAGTAAGTTACAAATATCGTCTTCAGTTGAGTCGCAAAATGGTCCCAAAGGGCCTTCAGCTGTACAGGAAACCAATAATCCCAGATAGTACAGTGTCATTCATAGAATATTCATAGGATATTCTCCGAGAAAATTTGAATGTTCTCAGAATATTCTCAAAATATGATACAAATATCCTGGGGACGTTCTATGAATATTCGGAATGGACTGTTTTGCATATTCTGAGAATATTCCTGGCATATTATAGAAGGAAGGAAATTTAAAAAAAATCTTGCTCTACGGGAGATGCGAACCTACTCTCTCGTGATTGAATCTTAACAAATCGTACACCTTTTCCACTGAGCTACGAACTTTATTGATGGATTATATGAATAGCAAATTATCATACTACACACGTGGGATAATTAGTATATTGAGGCTAGAGGATATAAGGTTGGATCAGGGGAACATTATAATTATCGATACAAGAATAACATCAATATAATATTTTGATACGAATCCCAATGTTCTCAGAATATTCTGAGATTATATCAAATTGAATGTTCATAGAATATTCGAAAAGAATATTCTGAGAATTTATCAAATCGAATGTTCATAGAATATTTGTTGTAGACTGAAAATATTCTATGATCATTCTGAGAACATTCTATCAGAATATTCTAAATAAATAAGTATATTTGAACGTTGTCAGAATATTCATAGATGTCTGTGCTGTCTGGGATCAGGCTGGTCAGCTAAGAGTAAAAAGGACATCTGGAAAGGAAGGAGGAAGCAGAGTGCAGAGGGAAATACAAATTTCCATTTTAAAGAACAAAGTTCATTCTGTATTGACAATGAGAAAGATGTTAAGGTATTATAAAGTGAGATCACTATTCTTCAGCTTCTGAAATGAAACCATTTGACCTTGCCGTTTTTTCTGCAAGCAATATAATTTAGGTAGGTATGGTGAAACAGGAAAAATTGTAAGATCACATTTTGAATTATTTTTCATTAATGAACAATGTAAATGTTTACTCAAATCCAAATACCATTCCTTCTTGGATGCCATATACTAATTTCTCTTTAAATTCTGAGTAATTAGTGAAACATGTAGGCAATTGGATAGTCATCACACAAGTGTTAGCCGTAGGAAAGATTGACTTATTATGAAAGAACTTAACCTGTAGTTTGGAACTGAATTCTAATGCTGGTATAGAATCTGCACCAGTGATAAATGATAACAAATTTTCCAAGCTCACATTCACTTCATTTTCCAAAAAAAAAAAGCAAATGCAGATTATTCATTAACTCTGGACTATAGATTATACTGTGTCTAGTCACACTAGAACCTTTTCTATTTCCTAATTCCTATACATATATTTCCCATTGACAATATACTCAATTCCTCCTATTTCACATATCATATAACCGATTGTCCCAACCCTAATTTTACACGCATTTTCTCGAGAACGGGTGACATTATCAACGTTCTGGAAAAACCGGCTTGAATGAGAAAGAGAATATGAAAACACGCGTTTCAGTCAAAAAATATTTATTATGTCACGTTCTAAAATGAGTTTTCGTAATTATCGACAATAAAAAAAAACAACGACACAAAAAAACACGATGGGTCATACACGCACCACTGGTAATAAAAGTGAGAAAAAATATTTTTTTAATATTCAAAAGACTTGTCCTAAGCATTAAAATCCTCTCATAGAGTGATAACTATACACTAAAATACAAAATAAAATAGTTGGGCCTCAACGAGATGAAAAATAACAAGATTTTCTCAATTTTTTCAATGGTGCACGAACGAACCACTGGTAATAAGTAATAACCAAATAACCTACCTCTGATGATATTTTGCGAAGCATGATACGTGCAAATGTTCGTTACATTTTTGACAAATATAAATTGAATGGTTATGACATACTCTACATCTTCTTCGAGCTTTTGTTTCATGAGTTATAAGAACATGGCCAATGTTATCGAAACGAATTTCAGCCACAGGGCGAGGGACATTTCTTACTACGTATGCTCTTTCATTTTTCAAGAGACGTAAAGCAACGTATGATTTGAATTCAATTTGTCTTTGTTCGATTGGCCACATTATAGAGTTTCCAAGCATTGACAATTATACTATCAATAGCATTGCGAACTATGGGCCACCACCATTTCTTCCCCAGTACTCTACATCTATAATTTGCTATACCATTATCATGGAGGTCAACCCCTCCCATAGATCTATTGTATTTGGTAATGGCATGAGGTTGGGTTACATTGATTTCCTTTCTCTCTTTTCGATTATATCGTTTCACGTGATGTATTGGTTGTACATTGAAAACATTACTGCATACAGTAACCGTTGCATTATCATTCCAGCGCACTAGAGAAATTTTTGTTTTTTCCTCAAATGCAGAAACATGAGACCCTCGCTCCCGCTTAGAAAATTGTTTTGACTTCTCGAGTGGGTAGTGTTGTGATCTATTTTCTCGTATTGTTCCTGTCGCAAAAAATCCATCATTTTTCAATTTTTCAAATAGTTGATATGAAGAAAAAAAATTATCGAAGAAAATTTGATGCGACATAGGACTTTCAATCACAGAAAGAAGACTCATCACAACATCGCCACCAAGACCTAATTTTGAGTGTTTCTCACCAGACCCTGCATAGGGAAGGGAGTAAAATAAATATCCATCGGCTGAACAATGGCACCACAGTTTGAAACCAAACTTCACTGGTTTGCCTTTTATGAACATTTTGCAGGAATGTTTTCCATAATAGGGCACCATTGGTTCATCGATTGACAAATTATATGCAAATACACCCCACTGTAGATTCTTTCTATTGATAGCATCTAAAACTGGCCTGACTTTAGCAAATTTATCATTTTTATCTAAATTATTGTTATCTGATAAATGCAAGTTCTGTTTTATACTCTGGAATCTATTTCTACTCATGCATTTTTTTATAACATCAACGCCTTTATCCTCATCAGTAGACCAATACATAGGAATTTGTGGTAATGAGTGATATCCAGAAAATAGCAATACACCTATAAAATTCAAGAGATCATTTTTTGAGAAACGGAAATCAAATCGGTTGTTATCTTGGGCATATTTCAGTGAAAAGTCCGTTACCAATTGGAGTATTTCATCGTCCAGAAAAAGATGAAAAATCTCGAGTGGTGTCTTACCAGCAAGCTCATTTTGTATACGTTCTTTATCAGCAGATTCCTTGGAGATTGCGGAATGAGTATAATCAATTTCTCCGGTTACCCATCTTGGCTTAGAAAGAACCTGTCGGGATGGCCCAGGAGCTAAGCGTTCTCTTTTAGATGCCAAATCTTCTTCATCTGATGAACTCCACTCATCTTGTTGATTTTGTCTCACATCAAAGTTATGGAAATCATTAGGTACTTGTAGTTCGAAAGTTCCAGCAATATCAGGCGGTTCATTCTCTGGTGAATAGTTCTCATCGTCAATATTTTCCTCGTCTGTGAGCGTATCAACATCTGGTGGTAAATAGACCGCATCAATGACATCTGGAAAATGAATCTACAATGATTTTCTGAATGGAAGAAAAACTATATAGATATTGGAAATTATACGCCAAATGTTTATAACTACCTACCTTCATGTCCCTCCACTTCTAGTTCATCAATTGCTTCCTCTAAAGCTGCTTCTAGTTCTTTTTGGGTCAAAAACTTTCTGGAAGACATGTTCAGTCACTACAATAAGCGAACAACTATCCCATACCATTGATGGAATGGTTATGAATTATTCTCACGTATGCTCACAGCTTAGGGAAACTTGTCTGAGCTTGTCGAAATATTGTTGGAGCTCACGCAGGATACCAGTGGTGCGCGAACTCACCAATGATTTTTTCATTGCTGAAAGTCTCTTATTTTTTATTACAACGAATTGATGTGTGATATATCATATTGGGTCATCAAATGACTACACATTGATGGACACTGAAATGAATAATATTTTCTCCAAGTTATATTTTGTCAGTGCTAACAAACCGTATTCAGCCAACGTAATTTTCACCCTACTTCAGAGTGCACTGAAATCTGTTTTTTTTCCTGATCTAAACGTAATATATTTTTATCCAACATTATGAGAACACTGTAAGTTTATACTAACTGATTCACGTGACATCAACATTGGATTGCCCGAAAAAAAAAATTACAAAATTGCGGTGCGTGAACGCACCACTGGGGGTTAATGGGTTAATACACCCCCATATTAAGTATTATGGCTTGTTTGAGTAGCTTATCAGCTTACGAACACAATGATGTATTACACCCTCCATGAATACGCCCTAGAGAATGTCAAATTAGCAACTCGAAATAGCATATCATATCAGGAATGTCGTCTCAAGCCCTCGACAAACCACCCCTTCGCACACACTCCTCATTTTTTGTTTTTCAAATCACATCCTGTTTTTGTGGTATGTTTGAATAGCTTTTGAACAGACGAGTTATGTTGTTTTTAACTCAGCGATATTCTTATAGGCTTCGTAAATGGCCAACACTTTCAATTTTGAATAACCCCAATGAAAAAAATATGAAGGGGATGAATCTGGGAATCGTGCTGGCGATCGTATTGGGCCAAAATTTCCAATCCAGTTTTCCCAAAACTGGTTATTCAGATGTCTAGTATATCAGTCAACTGAATCCGCCTTTAGATTTTTGGTAATGGTGGACAAAATTCATTAAAATGATATGCTATTGAGTTGTTGATTTGACACTATCTAGGACGTACTCTTGGAGAGTGTCATAGATCATTGTGCTCGTAATCAATAAGCTACTCAAATATACCATAATAATAATGGGGGTGGTTTATCGAGGGGTAGTTTTAATGACGAATTTCTGTGCAACACTCTTCCTCATTTTTTTCAGAACGTGTATAATGTCACCCGTTCTCGAGAAAATGCGTGTAAAAATAGAGTTGGGACCACAACAATAGCCTGCCTGCCTGCCGTTCGTCCGTCCGTCCCCTTCCCTCCATCCATATATCTAAATATTTTCTTCTGCTTCCAATTAGTATAAATATTAAAAAGTGATGATAGAAACTTTGAAAGTCATATCTTCACAATCGATAATGAAATCACGAAAATATCCGACTGTTTTATTTTCGATTTCACGTTTGTTAGACCCAGTCTCACTTAAATCGAAAAATATCATATCATTGAATGCTCAGCTCGTTAGCTTCATTTCTTTGTAACAGAATGTTCTTCAAAGATATCTGGATGCTTTTTCATTTTGTCATAAATGTCGAGTGTTCTCAAACCCTCTACCATTTGTTGGATTGCTGGTAGTTTTCTATGGAGAGTTACGAACGTTATCACTCCTGAAAATTATACATAGTACAGACAAGGCCGTGTCTAGACCCCAGACCCCCTCAGAAATGACAGCTCAAATCCGACTTTTTCCATTAGTTCGAAAAAAAAGTTGAATCAGTTCGTCGTTTTCGTGGACTCCCGCCGAAAAAAAATCTGGGCACGGCCTTGTATACAGGGAGATCAATGATTAACACCCTGAAAGTTAATTATTCAGATATAGACTACAGGAGCTAAACTATAAGACAGTTTAGTTGTTCATTTATCGACTTCTGAGAAATCTTGCCTTAACCTAGCCGACCGCTTCAATACTGTTGATGATATACCTCAGAGATTGTAGGGATATTGAGGTAATTAATATGCATTGATAGCATGTCAAAACACTTCCGTTAGAATGCTGATATTAACGAAATCGATAAAACCGAATTTCGACATATTATTCTTTGGTTTGCAAGACATTCAATGTAAGAAGACAAACGAAAAACACAAAGTCACAGGGTACCAACCTGTATGTCGAACGAAATTCAGACATTGATGTATTGATGTATACTAATCACCCCAGTATACCAATAACGCAATCTAAGAGCTACCCTATATCTACAATACTGAAGTATTCGTTGAAAAAAAAAAAAAGTTCAAAGCCCTATATATCTCAATAAAGAATCGATTCAGAGGATATGTTTATAATAAGAGATAATAGCCTCTCATCCAACTCGAATTTGAGGCCACTGGACAAATTAGATTTGATTTATTTTCTATTCCATCGTTCAGTGGCGTACCTACGGGGGGATAAAGAGGATATACCTTCTCTACTTTGAAACGCATCAAAACCTATTTGAGGAACGCTACCGCCCAAGTGATTGTAGTTGTAGTTATCAATAATCTTGAACAAAAATATGTTTTGAAAAAAAGGTACACTTCTGGGTACGCCACTGTCATGGTGGTCAAATAGACGAAATCCACATTTATGAAGATTTTTCTTCGATGATTGAACCAAGAAGTTGGATAAGATTATCTCATTTTCAAACCGAATAACGCGTTCTAAGCAAGTATGTGTGTGAGTATATATATTTCATCACCGACCAAATTAGGCAATATGTAGTATCAGCAGATTCACAAATCGAAAGATTCATACTACAATAAACTCACCTTCAGCTAAGTCATATTTTTTTCACATCATCAAAGTATATCGGACATCCAGACAGATTGAAGAGGAGACTGTTGCTTAAGATCTCATTAAGTTCTTGTAAATTATCTATTCCCAATAATGTTTCCACTTATTTTCGAATATCTTCGTCATGTACATCATTAATTGTCATTTGTACATTTTGCCCAATTATTACGGAATAAATGTTTTTCGAAAAATATCTAGGTCCAGGTCCACCATGTACCAGTGACATACTGATAATCCTTCCAGCATAAAAATATTTATTATCAAGTAATATTTCGTTTCTCAAGGTTATGGATTTTTCTGTATTGGGTCCTAAAATTATATAAGACAAACAGAATTTAGCGAATAGGTATACATATAATTGTGATATTTTTGCATATTTCTCATTGAGAAAAAATAAGCGACTTCAACATCATTTCTAATAACTAATAGGTAATCCCAAATGATATAGGAAAGTGAAAACCATTTAGATATCAATTAAAATATCGAAAATAATGAAAAAAAAATATATAATAATAAAAAAAGTATCGTAATGAGAGTACTAATGTATATTGTTAAATGTTTCATTGAGACTTACAGGAAAAATACTGAAAACATGAAAAATCATGCCTCAAAACCCCCTTCGCCCCCCCCGTTGAATCCGCCACTGCTGTTCGACTCGCAAAATTTGCGTGCTCGGCTTCGCCGTCGCTCCACCTCGCAAACGCAAATATCGCTTGTCAAATAAAGTGTCACATTTGATCCTAATAAAACAATGTAGATACGGATTTTATTTCATTATAGGTTTCCATACTGTGTATTTGTTGTATTATTTACCGACGTATATCTAGAAGGTGGTGGTAGGTAATATGATTTGGAGTATAATAAAATTATTTAATCATAATATATACTATTATACAAAGTGTTACACTTCTAAAAATCATATCGCTTATAAATTCGACGTCGGATGTTACAGAAAATTGTTTTTTAAATTCTAACTTCTCAAAACATTTTTTATCACAATTAGATTTCATTGAAATCGGTATGTTCGAAATGTTCTTATTTATCACCACTTTTAGATATACGTCGGTGAACCAAACATCCTGTATATGTTTTTCCAAGTAGCAACCTCTTCATTTTATTGTTAAAATGCACTGATAGGTAATGATATTAACATCAATAACTCAAACCTTCAAACAGAATGCTGTCCTGCAGTTCCTTGAGAACAAGCCTAAAAAATTCCCTTCTAGGACCTCCGGAATCGATAGCACCTTCAGATTCCCCAAAGTCGTCAGTGAACATTACAGAAGGAATCTTCCGATGATGAAAAGATTTTCTGCTCATAGCTCTGATAGCACCAATAAATAATTCTGATCTTGTGATATCCAATATAGTACACGAATCTTGTAATATATTACTGAACAGTTCTTCTAAGATGCTTTTCAGAGTAGGTGGAGATGTTTCTTTCAAGCTTTCCTGAATAGCAATTTCCAAGTCCTGATCTTCTTCAGAATCCAAGTTGTCATTTCCTTGGTCCAAAGTTCGTTCAGGTGATATAATTGGTTCAGAGTCAAAATTTTTATCCGGTGGCTATTCCCATATATTATTAGACTGTGATGATTGAGAAACCACACCAATATGGTCAGTTATTTCTATATCATGGCATTCATGGTTTCCTTCAATGAAACAATCATCATTAACATCTTGTGAGTATATTCTTTCACTACTTTGATACATGGCACTCGAGGAGTTTTCATTTATATTATCATCAGACCTGGGATTATAAGATGATTGAAAATTATCGCTCTCAGAAGTATTCTCACATACTGAACTGCTAGTAACTGTAGATGGAATTCGACTGGTAGATAAGTAAAAACGCATATTGGGCATTTTGAATAGCTTGAACATATCTTCTAATGTCAAAAGTTCATCTATATTTTTTTTTGAAATCCATTAATTGCGTACGAAATTCGAAAAGTTTTCCTTTAGGGCTTTTGCCATCAGAAAAGAATATGTCCACTGCCGCTTTCAGCAAATCTGCTTTCTTATCAGTTTTTAAAGCAGTCATTTTTCTCGTACCCCCACCACTTGCTGTGCGAACCTGCTGGAAACGACCATTTTCATAATGTATCCAACCCATTTCAATTTTTCTAGTATTTTTCATTGCATTTGGAGCTTTCCTTGGATTTTCATTTTCTTCAATGTCACTAGCAGGGTACTTTTTTCGGTTGAATTTGTGTTTCAATCTTGTAAGCAAAATTTGTTTTTTATCAAAATTACCCTTACTAGAATATGTTTTAATGGCTATTCTATCACCATAGCTAGGGATAAGGGATTTGAAATATTCATCATTGACATCAAGAGCTCCCAATACATGCCCATATAGCTACAAAATAAAGTGTTTCATCAAAATACGCGGTGAAGCTGCAGTTTTTGTTTACTCATGGTATGGATATGGGATATGGTAAGCATTTCGAGCATTAACGGGGGCATAAATACCTCTTATCTTTTAAATCGGTGCTCTTAAGTCTTAAGGGCCACAAATTACATAAAAATAGTTATTTATTATACAAGGGAAAAAAGTAATAGATTTTAGCTCACACAACTTGGAGCTAAAATCTATTACTTTTTTCCATATTTTTTCCGTGTATAATATCCTATTTTTTTCTGTGACAGGAATAAGGACGAATCAGTATTGAGATCTTACATTAAATTAAGATCAGAAAATTATCGACGTGAAATTTGAAGTTCCAAAGAAAACATTACTTTGTGTTATACCTGAATAATATAACTGCTCATTTTGAAAATCTCACTATGCCAATGGATTCTACGTGAAAAAATGTATAATAAGGTTGGGTCCCATATGCAACATTTTCGATTTTGCCATTTGTGCTAAAAATGAAGCGGGCTATGAACATTTTGTTTGCGGGAGTGAGTTTCAGAAAAAACTTGGTAGGTATAGCCAATATAAGTTGTAGGAACATCGTGACATCGAAAGGGAAAAACAATAAATATATTGGCCCAATTATAACGTAGATACATATACTATACTTACCTACTTACCTATATGCATATGAACTCCATCCTTGTGGAAAAAAGCAGAAAAAAAAATGTTCAACAAGTTGCTACCATGGTGGAATATTTATATTTCCACCATGGTTACTACTGTCCTGACCTCCTTACGTTACATAGAATACTTTGAACCTATATAATAGTGTAATATACCTACATTAGGTTCCTTTAAACCGAAAGAGATATTGAGCAGACCAGACAAGGTTTCTTAAATATTAGTAGATTTCCAAAATGTACTGGAGCGCTAGACTGTGGACCACAAGCTGAAAATTATCCTAATTGAAAGGGTTTGTTCTCTCTCAATGCACAAGCCGAGTGATGCTGAGCTGAAAATACTGAACCTTGTGTGCTGCTGGCCTAGAGCTACTCATGATGCTTATATTTTTTTAGAAATTCTAATTTGAGAGCCAAGTTGGAAAATTGAGATGCTGCACCTCCAGATAATGAGGAAATAGAAGCTGCCAACTTAATGTGAATAAATGTTAAAGATAAAATAAATATGTTTAATTTTTTATTAATATATTATTAGGAATCAGTAAAACATTGTAAAACCTGCAAAAGTATGGATGATGTATCTCTCAAATATGCACATGTAAATGATACAATATACCTACATTAATTTATGATTGTTGACAATAAACATCTGAAATAAGTAAAAAAAACCTTTATAACTTAGGAACAAGGCATGAAAGATGCCCGTGATGTACATACATTTTTAATTAACCCAGATATTGCCGAAACTATTTTTTCTTTAATTCTGTTCGAAAATGTCATTAAAGTGGTCTTAAATAGTCAAGTGAGTATTCTCACAAAAATGATTCAGGTATTTTTCTTCTCACTATGGAAAAAAACTGCAGCCTTTTAAAAGGATGGTGGCAATTTGAACGAACAATTTTTGAAAAAAAAACTATTTTATCTAAAATTAAAAAGAAACAATTTTATTTGGGTATTAGGATCAAAAATATTCATAATATAACTGCTCAAAATGTTACAAAGTATCATTTTGAGTGGAAAGCAATAAAACACATTTTAGGATGTAATGTCAAATAACATTTCTGGCACGCAAACTTTGCTTTTATGTGACACTGTACACAAACTGTCTGGTTCTCTCTGTATACTATCAGATGATCTTTAGATTTTTGGTAATGGTGGACAAAATTCATTAAAATGATATGCTATTGAGTTGTTGATTTGACACTATCTAGGACGTACTCTTGGAGAGTGTCATAGATCATTGTGCTCGTAATCAATAAGCTACTCAAATATACCATAATAATAATGGGGGTGGTTTATCGAGGGGTAGTTTTAATGACGAATTTCTGTGCAACACTCTTCCTCATTTGAGCCATTTTTTTCAGAACGTGTATAATGTCACCCGTTCTCGAGAAAATGCGTGTAAAAATAGAGTTGGGACCACAACAATAGCCTGCCTGCCTGTCGTTCGTCCGTCCGTCCGTCCCCTTCCCTCCATCCATATATCTAAATATTTTCTTCTGCTTCCAATTAGTATAAATATTAAAAAGTGATGATAGAAACTTTGAAAGTCATATCTTCACAATCGATAATGAAATCACGAAAATATCCGACTGTTTTATTTTCGATTTCACGTTTGTTAGACCCAGTCTCACTTAAATCGAAAAATATCATATCATTGAATGCTCTGCTCGTTAGCTTCATTTCTTTGTAACAGAATGCTTCTTCAGAGATATCTGGATGCTTTTGCATTTTGTCATAAATGTCGAGTGTTCTCAAACTCTCTACCATTTGTTGGATTGCTGGTAGTTTTCTATGGAGAGTTACGAACGTTAACACTCCTGAAAATTATACATAGTACAGACAAGGCCGTGTCTAGACCCCAGACCCCCTCAGAAATCCGACTTTTTCCATTAGTTCGAAAAAAAAGTTGAATCAGTTCTTCGTTTTCGTGGACTCCCGCCGAAAAAAATTCTGGGCACGGCCTTGTATACAGGGAGATCAATGATTAACACCCTGAAAGTTAATTATTCAGATATAGACTACAAGAGCTAAACTATAAGACAGTTTAGTTGTTCATTTATCGACTTCTGAGAAATCTTGCCTTAACCTAGGCGACCGCTTCAATACTGTTGATGATATACCTCAGAGATTGTAGGGATATTGAGGTAATTAATATGCATTGATAGCATGTCAAAACACTTCCGTTAGAATGCTGATATTAACGAAATCGATAAAACCGAATTTCGACATTTTATTCTTTGGTTTGCAAGACATTCGATGAAAGAAGACAAACGAAAAACACAAAGTCACAGAGTACCAACCTGTATGTCGAACGAAATTCAGACATTGATGTATTGATGTATACTAATCACCCCAGTATACCAATAACGCAATCTAAGAGCTACCCTATATCTACAATACTGAAGAATTCGTTAAAAAAAAAAGTTCAAAGCCCTATATATCTCAATAAAGAATCGATTCAGAGGATATGTTTATAATAAGAGATAATAGCCTCTCATCGAACTCGAATTTGAGGCCACTGGACTAATTAGATTTGATTTATTTTCCATTCCATGGTTCAGTGGCGTACCTACGGGGGGATAAAGAGGATATATTCCCCCCATGGTCCATATGCCGATAGAAAAACATCAGTTATAAACTCATAAAGTGCGAATAAGATGGGTTGAACTCTGGTGGGATCATTACGTTCCACTTGGCTATAAATGATCAGAAATATTCTTATTCTTTCACTTTCATTATTCAAATAATCAGATACTGATCTGTGTAGCCAAATTGGTCAATTGTGAATATGCCACAGAAATACGTCAACATTTATGCGAATAGTGCAAGCACGTTTTTTCAGTGTAGGTCGAATGTTCTTTCGCTGGGATTTTTGGTCTTGGGCTGTGATTCCCCGATATTATTCGGTCAGTTCGTTCATTGTATACACTTCTAAAAATATATACAATTCCAGTGTCAACTGCGACACCAGAAAGAACCTTCTATACTTTGAAACGCATCAAAACCTATGTGAGGAACGCTACCGCCCAAGTGAGACTTAATGGACTTGCCATGCTATCAATTCATAGAAAGGTAGTCGTATCTGTTGAAGAAATTATTGAAGAAATTGCTCTCGAACCATGGAGCTTAGTTTTATTTTTGTAATGTTCAAAATTATTGTAGTTGTAGTTATCAATAATCTTGAACAAAAATATGTTTTGAAAAAAAGGTACACTTCTGGGTACGCCACTGTCATGGTGGTCAAATAGACGAAATCCACATTTATGAAGATTTTTCTTTGATGATTGAACCAAGAAGTTGGATAAGATTATCTCATTTTCAAACTGAATAACGCGTTCTAAGCAAGTATGTGTGTGAGTATATATATTTCATCACCGACCAAATTAGGCAATATGTAGTATCAGCAAATTCACAAATCGAAAGATTCATACTACAATAAACTCACCTTCAGCTAAGTCATTTTTTTTCACATCATCAAAGTATATCGGACACCCAGAAAGATTGAAGAGGAGACTGTTGCTTAAGATCTCATTAAGTTCTTGTAAATTATCCATTCCCAATAATGTTTCCACTTATTTTCGAATATCTTCGTCATGTACATCATTAATTGTCATTTGTACATTTTGCCCAATTATTACGGAATAAATGTTTTTCGAAAAATATCTAGGTCCAGGTCCACCATGTACCAGTGACATACTGATAATCCTTCCAGCATAAAAATATTTATTTTCAAGTAATATTTCGTTTCTCAAGGTTATGGATTTTTCTGTATTGGGTCCTAAAATTATATAAGACAAACAGAATTTAGCGAATAGGTATACATATAATTGTGATATTTTTGCGTATTTCTCATTGAGAAAAAATAAGCGACTTCAACATCATTTCTAATAACTAATAGGTAATCCCAAATGATATAGGAAAGTGAAAACCATTTAGATATCAATTAAAATATCGAAAATAATGAAAAAAAAATATAATTATAAAAAAAGTATCGTAATGAAAGTACTAATGTATATTGTTGAATGTTTTATTGAGACTTACAGGAAAAATACTGAAAACATGAAAAATCATGCCTCAAGGGGGGGGGGGGGGCGAAGGGGGTTTCGCCCCCCCCTAAATCCGCCACTGCTGTTCGACTCGCAAAATTTGCGTGCTCGGCTTCGCCGTCGCTCCACCTCGCAAACGCAAATATCGCTTGTCAAATAAAGTGTCACATTTGATCCTAATAAAACAATGTAGATACGGATTTTATTTCATTATAGGTTTCCATACTGTGTATTTGTTGTATTATTTACCGACGTATATCTAGAAGGTGGTGGTAGGTAATATGATTTGGAGTATAATAAAATTATTTAATCATAATATATAGTATTATACAAAGTGTTACACTTCTAAAAATTATATCGCTTATAAATTCGACGTCGGATGTTACAGAAAATTGTTTTTTAAATTCTAACTTCTCAAAACATTTTTTATCACATTTAGATTTCATTGAAATCGGTATGTTCGAAATGTTCTTATTTATCACCCCCTTTTAGATATACGTCGGTGAACCAAACATCCTGTATATGTTTTTCCAAGTAGCAACCTCTTCATTTTATTCATAAAATGCACTGATAGGTAATGATATTAACATCAATAACTCTAACCTTCAAACAGAATGCTGTCCTGCAGTTCCTTGAGAACAAGCCTAAAAAATTCCCTTCTAGGACCTCCGGAATCGATAGCACCTTCAGATTCCCCAAAGTCGTCAGTGAACATTACAGAAGGAATCTTCCGATGATTAAAAGATTTTCTGCTCATAGCTCTGATAGCACCAATAAATAATTCTGATCTTGTGATATTCAATATAGTACACGAATCTTGTAATATATTACTGGACAGTTCTTCTAAGATGCTTTTCAGAGTAGGTGGAGATGTTTCTTTCAAGCCTTCCTGAATAGCAATTTCCAAGTCCTGATCTTCTTCAGAATCCAAGTTGTCATTTCCTTGGTCCAAAGTTCGTTCAGGTGATATAATTGGTTCAAAGTCAAAATTTTCTTCCGGTGGCTATTCCCATATATTATTAGACTGTGATGATTGAGAAACCACACCAATATGGTCAGTTATTTCTATATCATGGCATTCATGGTTTCCTTCAATGAAACAATCATCATTAACATCTTGTGAGTATATTCTTTCACTACTTTGATACATGGCACTCGAGGAGTTTTCATTTATATTATCATCAGACCTGGGATTATAAGATGATTGAAAATTATCGCTCTCAGAAGTATTCTCACATACTGAACTGCTAGTAACTGTAGATGGAATTCGACTGATAGATAAGTAAAAACGCATATTGGGCATTTTGAATAGCTTGAACATATCTTCTAATGTCAAAAGTTCATCTATTTCATTTTTTTGAAATCCATTAATTGCGTACGAAATTCGAAAAGTTTTCCTTTAGGGCTTTTGCCATCAGGAAAGAATATGTCCACTGCCGCTTTCAGCAAATCTGCTTTTTAAAGCAGTCAGTATTCTCGTACCCCAACCACTTGCTGTGCGAACCTGCTGGAAACGACCATTTTCATAATGTATCCAACCCATTTCAATTTTTCTAGTATTTTTCATTGCATTTGGAGCTTTCCTTGGATTTACATTTTCTCCAATGTCACTAGCATGGTACTTTTTTCGGTTGAATTTGTGTTTCAATCTTGTAAGCAAAATTTGTTTTTTATCAAAATTACCCTTACTAGAATATGTTTTAATGGCTATTCTATCACCATATAGCTAGGGATAAGGGATTTGAAATATTCATCATTGACATCAAGAGCTCCTAATACATGCCCATATAGCTACAAAATAAAGTTTTTCATCAAAATACGCGGTGAAGCTGCAGTTTTTGTTTACTCATGGTATGGATATGGGATATGGTAAGCATTTCGAGCATTAACGGGGGCATAAATACCTTTTCTCTTCTAAATCGGTGCTCTTAAGTCTTAAGGGCCACAAATTACATAAAAATAGTTATTTATTATACAAGGGAAAAAAGTAATAGATTTAGCTCACACAACTTGGAGCTAAAATCTATTACTTTTTTCCATATGTTTTCCGTGTATAATATCCTATTTTTTTCTGTTACAGGAATAAGGACGAATCAGTATTGAGATCTTACATTAAATTAAGATCAGAAAATTATCGACGTGAAATTTGAAGTTCCAGAAAAAATATAACTTTGTGTTATACCTGAATAATATAACTGCTTATTTTGAAAATCTCACTATGCCAATGGATTCTACGTGAAAAAATGTATAATAAGGTTGGGTCCCATATGCAACATTTTCAATTTTGCCATTTGTGCCAAAAATGAAGCGGGCTATGAACATTTTGTTTGCGGTAGTGAGTTTCAGAAAAAACTTGGTAAGTATAGCCAATATAAGTTGAAGGGACATCGTGACATCGAAAGGGAAAACCAATAAATATATTGGCCCAATTATAACGTAGGTACATATACTATACATACCTACTTACCTATATGCATAAGAACTCCATCCTTGTGGAAAAAAGCAGAAAAAAAATGGTCAACAAGTTACTACCATGGTAGAATATTTATATTTCCACCATGGTTACTACTGTCCTGACCTCCTTACGTTACATAGAATACTTTGAACCTATATAATAGTGTAATATACCTACATTAGGTTCCTTTAAACCGAAAGAGATATTGAGCAGACCAGACGAGGTTTCTCAAATATTAGTAGATTTCCAAAATGTACTGGAGCGCTAGACTGTGGACCACAAGCTGAAAATTATCCTAATTGAAAGGGTTTGTTCTCGCTCAATGCACAAGCCGAGTGATGCTGAGCTGAAAATACTGAACCTTGTGTGCTGCTGGCCTAGAACTACTCATGATGCTTATATTTTTTGGGAAATTCTAATTTGAGAGCCAAGTTAGAAAATTGAGATGCTGCACCTCCAGATAATGAGGAAATAGAAGCTGCCAACTTAATGTTAATAAATGTTAAAGATAAAATAAATATATTTAATTTTTTATTAATATATCATTAGGAATCAGTAAAACATTGTAAAACCTGCAAAAGTATGGATGATGTATCTCTCAAATATGCACATGGAAATGATACAATATACCTACATCAATTTATGATTGTTGACAATAAACATCTGGAATAAGTAAAAAAAACCTTTATAACTTAGGTACAAGGCATGAAAGATGCCCGTGATGTACATACATTTTTAATTAAATTGAAAAGATACCACCTAAATACAAAAAAAAACATTATTTTAGTGATCTATTCTCTTCTTGAAGAATTGTCATGTTTATTTCATATTTTCTTCTTTCCAGAATTTTATTTTAACCACAATCTCTGCTCTCTGTAGATTCCATCATTTATGTTCGTGGTTTTACTTGCAAATGCTTGAGTTTGAGCTGATGATCTTCCATAGAAGCAGCCTTCTGAATTTCAGCAAGTTCTATTTTTGTAGCACTCCATATTATCAATTTGCTGTTCAGGGGGTTTCTGTTCTTCTTGGAAGTGTCGCTATTCTCTACAATGAGAATATAGATGTAAAGTAACAGATTGATAAGCAAAGATATCATTTAAAAGTGATTAGTCAAGTAACAGAGACATTAACAATAAATGTGCAAGAGTAGGTATATTTTCCACACCTTTGTCATTACTGGACCCTTTACTGGTACCTTCCAGCTCTGAGTGGTGATGAAATTTGTTTTTTCAACATATCAGGGGTGGACATAGACCAGACCATATCTAATTTTTTGCCTGAGATATATGTGGTCACACTGGAAGACATGTAGTTATGTTCCAATAATAATGGAGCTAAAAGAATAAAGACAAAGGAAACATAGGCACATGCAAGAATCCGGAAATTGTTCAGGAGATGGAATGTTTGATAAAGTACCTAGTGTAGTTATAACAAACTTGAAAAAGAAGGCCAGTGGAGATGTTTATGACAAATAAGATGGAATAAACATGGGCCAAAAATCTTCACCAATTTTCAGTGATATGAAAATAAACACCCACGAAAATGCTGCATTTTTTTAGATTCTCCCTCCATATTTATATCCAAAAAGTTAATTGTTGATAATCTAGTAATTTTTCATAACATTCTTCAACTGATTGAATCAACAACTGAAAAGAATATGATTCATATTATGTTTCTTTTTTACTTTCTTACATTTCGTAGGAACAGTACCTTCTGCTGTTCTAGTGAATTCAGGCAGAGAATACAATATTTCAAATGTTTATTCGTCTATAAAATGTAAAACCATATCTTCTATCCCATCATGCTTCTATCAGTCTTCTATCCTTGCTTCTTTTGCTCCCATTTTCAACACCAGGGTGGTATCAGCACTAGGCAGCAGACATTAGTCCTGGTTGTTCAATCTACTTCTAATCTACCATTGTCATCTCATTCAAACATTTTTGATTATCATCGAACAACTTTCGTCATTATGTACAAAGCCTCAATGTTTCCAACAGTAGACAGAATCGTACCTAACCTAACAATATTATTATTATTATATTGATGGAGTCGAAGTGTACCTAGTTTTTTTTATGACTTTATGACTTTTGACCATTAACAAAAGAGAGTAATTTATCAATGCTTATGACATTATGAGTTACGAGTCGAACCACGTCGAACTTTTGAATTGAAGGGAGGAAGGTGAAGCCACATAAAGGGAAGGGGGATCAGATGTGATCAAGGGGAAAGAGCAAAATATATTCCGTCTCCCAATTGGTCACATGAATCACATGATATCGTAATCACGAACGTTGCCCGCATGTGCGAGCTCATAGAAATTATACAAATACACTTGGCAACACAGCAGACCCAGAAAAAATTATCACATTTTTATATGCAGCACAGAAGGGACATGAAGAAATATAATTTTTTTTCATCTCATTATAATGAGATAGCTAACTCATTATATTGAGATAAAAAAATATCTCCCTCATTTTTATGCTAAGAAAATGTGGGAGATATTTTTTTTTAAATATCTCACCATGTCCCTTCAGAGAAAAAGTCCATTGGGTTCAAATTAGGCGATCTATAGGAGCCCACTGCACAAACCCTCCGCGTCCTATCCATCTTTCAGGAAAAGTCGCATTGAGGAAATCTCTTACCCCAACTGCATAATGCGGCGGCGCACCGTCATGAAGCAGCCACATCGAATTTCTTACCCGAAGGGGCACGTCCTCCAAAAGAAAGACCATTCAGTCGTTGTGAAAAAAAATGTGGCCCTATCAAGTGGTGATACTCGTGTTCTACTCCCAAGTGAGGATTGTAATCACATCAGTAATGTTCATTATGGATATTGAATAAGCCATCATGTCTAAAGCCAGCTTCGTCCATGAAAAGCATAGAAGATATCAGATTCTTATCTTCGTTGAGAAGATTTCTTATGGTATTGCAGAAATTCAGACGAGCAACAGGGTCTTCAGGAGACAGGGCTTGAACTATTTGATAATGGAAGGGATAACGCTTACGTTGGGATTATTCTCGATTGAATTCAATACCCGTTCTTCTGCTTCTCCAGTTCTAGTTTTTCGCAGACGGCCTGCATCAAGACGTTAAGATTTGAATGATCCACATTCTCCCAGTCTTTGATGGATATTGCTGAACATCCGTGATTGTGGTGTCCTTCTATTAGGAAACGCTTCACTATAAAAACGTTCTGCTGCATTGCAATTGCATTGCCGCCAGCTACACCATAATAATAATGCATGTCACGTAGTTCAACGTTAGCATAAGTGAGATGATTATTCATATTGTCTCAAAAATTTAACAAGATTCCTACTCTAATCAAATAATTATTATCTGTCAAGTTTGAATTCAAAACAATCGTCGTGTTTCCTAGATGATCCACGCAGTTGTTTCCATATCGTTGAGGATATGTTATCATAATTATTCATAATGGTCATATGTAGTGGTAGCGAAATTTGAAACGGTTTTTCTCTCGGAAACTGCTCATTTCAGCGTGATGAAACAAGAGAACCTTTTTGAAATATTTTGCAAATGAAATCACCCCCTCGATTTTTTGCGCACAGTTTCCGGACATCCATAGTTTCATATGGTGGCAAAACACTCGAAATCGCGATCAAATGAGGTCTTAGTTTCATTGGTGACTGATAGATTGCGACATACAGTTCATTTACCGAAACTGACAGAAACGATACATGCAGGGTGACCGGAAATTCAGCGCAAAAAAAATTGTGGGTGATTCAACATGAAATAACATGATTTTTTTTTTTTTCATTAGTATCTGGGTCCAGGAAGGCGTAGTTTTCAATAATACAAAGTGTGTCAAACATGTATTATAAAACTATTCGAAGAAAATGAATCTTGATTGGATGGATCACACATTTATTTTCACCCCAGTCTCTGAAGGAATTTTTTGCACAAATTTATCTAATAAATTGGTATTTATTTTTTTCCACAGAAACGAAGCAAAATATCGAAACAAATCAGGAGACCAAAATTTTGTATTTTCAGTTGGTGAATACGATATAATGACAAAGAATTCAAAAAAATCAGTGGCGCACAATTTATTGACAATAACATTAGGTAGGGTGTCCCCCGGAACGCCACTGGATTTTATGATTCCAATTCAAGTATGGCTAAATCAGCTTCTCATGACAAAAAATATTACTGTCAAATTTGTGAGTGAATCGGTGGAGGGATATTTGAGATATTCATGAAAAACCGATATTGTTTTTTAGTTCAACACACTGTATGTTGAAAATTATGCATTTCTGGACCCACATACATATGAAATGAATTTCCTATTTTATCATGAAGAATCACCCCCTTGATTTTTCGCTCATAATTTCTGGACACCCTGTATACAGTCTGTCCAAGATAAAGTTGAACAGCATGGGGATCTCTAAAACGGTAGGAGATACGAAGTCGGTTAAATGGGGAAAACGTTGCGCATTCGGAGGCTCATATCAAGAGCCTTCGAAAATTTTCAAAATTATTTTTAGTTTTTGAGTTATATCGAAAAAAAAATGATAATTAGAGATACAGAAAAACTGAAAATAATTTTTCATAGCAACTCTTGATGACGTTTAACGTGGTGATACAGATTTTTTCATGCGACGTTTCGTATTCGTAGAACCATCATCAACTTTTGTTTTTCAAATACGCTCCTGATAATTTTTTTACAGATTCTGAAAGGTTTTTTTATTCTGAACTCAACCATGTATAATACAAGGTGGTTTTTGTGTGTTTCGACCTATTTTCAGCCATCATCAATGTTATTTCGAAATTCCAAAGGAAAAATGCCATTAGTTCCACTTATTTTGAAGGAAAAATAGTCAACACACTAATATCTCATCAACTGGTTTCAATCAAAAACCCATTTCATTTTGCGGAAACGAAAATTCCATCCATACAAATTCAGAACATGTCAAGCGCTAAAACCAGGCGAAAGGCGCCGGACATTCTGTGAGTGGTATAGCAGGAAATGTCAAAATTTTGCAGATTTCCCTCGAACAATCATCTGGATCATGGTATCTTCGATAGAAAAAATTGACTTTTCTGTTCACGAGAAATGATCATTTATACATTACAGCGAGACACCAACACCGTTTCGGCTTTAATATGTGGGTTGCAATATTTGGTATACGAATTATTGGTTCTTTTATTTACCATAAAACACAGACTGCCGAACGTTATAGAAATTTGCTTGAGAATCATCTTGAGGAAGCTCTGGATGATTTACCGATTGCGGAAGTTCAGAACTGTTGGTTTCAACAAGATCCGGTACATAATTCCAGAGAAGTCCGTGCGTTTATCTTCAGAAAAATGGATTGATACTCATTCTACAGTCCCTTGGCCGGCGCGGTCGCCTGATTTGACACAGCTGGATTTTTTCCCAGGGGATATATCAAAAACTTTGTATACGCAAACAACTTTGATGATGGAGAAGAACTGAGGGACAATGTCATCAAAGCATTCAATAAAATAACCCCAGAAATGCTGAGTAATGTCTTAGAAGCAACTGCGAGAAGAGGATATCTTTGTTCAGAAAATGATGGTTATCATTTTGAACATTTGTTATGAATGTTTCTGTAGGTATTGTCAAAGTTAAGTTGTTAAAGTAATCCGTGTAAGAATACATCAACAATTTTAAGCGCTGCATTGAATGATGTAGTGAAATATTTTTTATTCACTTCTCGGTATCTAATAACTAATCCATCAATGTTTCACACTAAATGATCAGAAATAAGTGGAACTGATAGCACTTTTTCTTTGGAAGTTCGAAAAAACATTGATGAAGGATAGAAAAAGGTCGAAACACATTCGAATCGCCTTGTATAATACATGGTTCGATTCAGAATAAAAAACCTTTCAGAATCTGTGAAAAAATTATCAGGACCGTATTTAAAAAACATAAGTTGATGATGGTTCTACGGATACGAAACGTCGCATAAAAAAATCGGTATCACCACGTTGAACGTCATAAAAAGTTGCTAGGAAAAAGTATTCTCAGTTCTTCTGTATCTCTGATAATAACGGAGAAAAAAAATAAAATAGATATTCCAAAAATTCACTTTTTTCGATACAACTCAAAAACTAGAAATAATTTTGAAAATTTTCGAAGGCTCTTGATATCAGCCTCCGATTGCGCAACTTTTTCCCCATTTATACGACTTCGTATCTCCTACTGTTTCCGAGATCCCCATACTGTTCAACCTTACCTTGGACAGACTGTATATCAAGTCGAATCAGGGGTAAAAATAGACAATGTACCTATACACTGCACTAAACACACGGAATTCAAAAACTTTCTCTTGAACGCACGACCAACTACACCCTTCGAAAGCCAACATAGACAATCTCTACTCTGTAGATAGGACACTGTAACGATATCAAGACTGACATTAATGCGCTTCCAATCGGCATGGAAGAAACTGAATTGAAAAGAGACAAAAAGATCGTCTTTATGGTGGGGTGATGGCGGGTAGTTTTGAAATTCATTTTATGGCGGTAAATTCGAAATTCATTTCATTGAACCATTCTTACCTGATTACAAAATGATGGGAAACGAAGAACACACAATATTTTCATTGGAATCAAAGTTATATTTCACATATTAAAATAATTGTTACAATATAACAATTGTGATTCTTCACATGATTATCAAATACATTTTGAATCTACATTGATACAGGAATGTTCTGAAATAAAAAAAATAGCATCAATTTCAGTAAGAAATTACTTCTTCCTTATAATTTCTAGTATGCATATCTCTTGCATTTAAAAAAAAAGAAAAAACATTCTGTGGCAGTTTCCGCAGATCTTTAACACTAAGAATATTGCATAATTGCTTACAATAATTGAAAACACATATTTTGATAAGCCGTTTACAGATTTTTTTTGCAAAAAAAGGATTATGTTCACAATCAGAAATATCAAATTGTTTCAAACAAACTGAAATAAGATGTTGCATTATACCTTTTTAGATGCAAATCTCTATCTGAAATGTATTTTATAATTGAATACCAAGTATTCATTTTAATCGAAAATTCACCATTCACATACTGCAACCTGTACTTTATATTGTCATATTCTTTTGCCCTTATAAATTCATTTTCCAGAGAATTCTTCTCTTCATCACTTGCAATTACAGCATGCCTACAAGTTTCACAATATTTGATTCTTTTATCTTTCAATAAGGTTTTCAGAATATATTCCATTACATAATTCAAAGATTGTTTCTCCATCTTTCTTGAATTATTTCCTCTCAATAAGGCTTCAGGCAGGGCTGTGAATGGTCCAAGGTGTGACTCTTCCTCATCATTCTAAAATAAAGACATTGAGAAAATTACTGAAAAAATCTAGTGAAAAATAATTAACTGTGAAATCAAGAGAATTATGGAATACATACATTTTCCTGATCAATCAATTCATCATCTTTGCAGTTTGCGCCAATTGAATGATTTCCAGATAAGTTATTAACTAGGAGACTTTTAAAATACGGTGTGAAAGCTTCACATGTTGGGTTGACATATCTCTTTCCTTTTTGGCGAACTTTTCCGAAGAAGTTTTCCAAGGGATCCTGGTTGAAAAATATTAGGCTCATATTCTCAAACCCAAGCTTGTTGAGAGTGGAAAATAAAATTTCGAAATTTCTCAAGTTTTTCATAAAGTTGGTTACTGAGGTATGAAAGTTTTGATCCCTTCTATAAATTTTAGGCTCTGCAAAATTTTTATGGCTCTATTCCAGAACTCTAAATGAGGGGAATCTTTCTTCACTGTGCCTTGTAAAGGTTTCTCCGAAAATCCACTGCAGTTGACACTGTCGAAGGGGTCATCAAAGAATTCACAAATCTTTGCAGTTTCCTGAGCCTCTGTTAGCAATGAAAGTGTCTCGTTGTCAATTTCTACTGTTGTACCTGGAGGTTTACAAATTAAAGAGTGAAAAATGTGTTGTGAAAAGATCAAAACTATAAAATAACCAAGTATACAAACCAATTTGCATACCTGAATAAGCCATCAATTTCATTGCAACAGCAACTGAACGACTAAATATTTGCGTACAGCAATACACCTTCATTCTATTGATTTTCAGTGGATTCACATGTGCCTCTGTTAGCTTAGGCATCGTCTTTAGGCTTCCAAAATATGGATCAATTTTGTAGGCTGTGAGAATGTGGTCCCATTTTCCACTGTACACTTCACCATCAATTTCCACTTGAAGTGTGGCTTTGAGCATATTATTTCTGATACCTTTCAACAAATGGGGACAATCAAATATTGGAATTATCGCATTGCCTAAAATATCAAAACACATCATTGAACTTCTGTTGCAATACAAAATAATTTCATACTAATGTTTCAATCCAATCTGTTGACAAACCTACCATTTAGTTCAAAGAAGTAGTTTTCCAACTCTTCATTCTTTCTCAAATAATTAGCCCTTGTGTCTCTCACTAAAGTATTGATAGCTGCTACATTATTTGATCCTCCGCAGTTGCTACTATCTGAAGTCCTACTTCATTGGTTCTTCTCACTATCTCCTTTATGATATATACAATGTCAGAATGTTTCGTACCACATTTAACAAAATTGAAATAAACTAGTTGCTTCCAGTTCGATTTTATGCCTTTCAACATGTAGACCTGAAAGTTAGAATTCAATTGGTAAAATAGCTAACTGTATGAAATAAAATGCAGAAAAAAATAAAGCATACTCACTTGGGCCTGATTTGCTATATTGGAGGAATTTCGAAATCCCAAATCTTCAAACCCTATCACTTGATCTATTTCAATATTATATGACAAGGGAGGTGCCAGGCTCATTTCATCAAACATAAGGATACCATATTTTTGCCTAGGATCTTTGAATTGTTTCGCCTCTGTTGTCAGCATGTTAAAAATGGAATCACTGAATCCAGGCTTCACAGGTCAAGAAACTTTCCCAGTGTCTTTTGTGAAGGCAATGTGAAAACAGATGACAAAAAATTATAAACACTTCCACTCTGTTTGCACAAAGCCAGTACTAGAAGTTTTTCTTTTTTCCAGAAACGCCGCCCCTTGGGTGTTTTATGAGTTTGTTGGATTTGTGAAACGGAGAATCTTTTCTGAATTTTATCCAAAGTAGATAGGTTTTTTTCCAAAAACACACTTTCAGCTTTTCGAAGTCTTTCTTGAAAAGTCCTTTCAGTTTTTTTAAGGTTCCTCATTCTTCTGGCAAGATCACAGGTTTTCTTATACAGAAATTTTGCCTTGGGTGTGAGGTCACTCTGGCGGCTCACATTGACTTTGGCAAGTATTCTATCCCCTAAAAAAAAATTATCAGAAACACTGTGATGAAACACATACAGTATGGTGCAAATGAATGGAATAAATTCATTATTTTGTAATAAGGCGACCCTACAGAAAAATCCTGATACCCGTCGATTTTTATAATCGAACGCGCATTCTGTCAAATATTTTTGATACGCATGACGTCATTGGTGTGAGCGTGATGACGTCATCGATGATTTTTTTAAATGGAAATGTGGGTCATGTGATATGTCATTGGAAAGGTGTTTCATTTACCTATCCAACCATATCGAAAAATTTGTCTAATTGTTGTTGTATGCAGAAAAAAATTGATTTTGAAATTACAGATCACTCATTACAAAATTATTAAATTCTGTGTCCAATTAATGATTTTCGAATCTCTGTAAGTAACCAAGATCTAATTTTGAAAAGGCCGTCCCTGGGAACGAAATGATAGCTTCTTACTTGATTTTTTGCCGGTTCACACATGTGGGTCTCATCGAAACTGCTACATTCGAATTAAACTCAATCGGCTTGTCGAATGTTAATGGTTATACCAGTAGAAATATTCAAAAATTATCAATATGAAGCTCACTGACACAGAAAGAATCGAAATTCTTATAATGATTGGTTGTGAAGACAAAACACGAACGCAAAAAGAAGTTTGTACTCTGTTCAATAATAAATATCCCAACCGAGAACCAATTTCACAATCCACGGTAAGCAAAATTGAAAAGAAATTCAGAGAAACGGGTCATGTGAAAGACCTACCCAAAGGTAGTAAGAAACAAATTCCAGGTGACAAGAAACTAGATGTTTTACTAGCTTTTCAAGATAATCTCCATACCAGTTCAAGGCAAGTAGCATTAGATAATGACATTGACCATTCAACAGTTCTTAGAACGCTAAAAAAGGAGAAGTGGCATCCCTACAAAGTTAGTTTAGTTCAGGAGCTTCTGGAAGGCGACTTTGATAGAAGAATTGAATTTTGCGAAATTATGATGGAGAAAAATAACACAGATCCGATGTTTTTCCGAAAAGTTTTTTTTTCTGATGAAGCTACATTTCTCCTAAACGGTCATGTCAATCGTCAGACGTGTCGGTATTGGGCTACTGAAAATCCACATTGGATGCAGGAATATCATACTCAATATCCAGAAAAATTGAATGTTTGGGCGGGAATTATAGGGAATATGATAATAGGACCATATTTCTTCGATGAGTCCTTGACAGGTCCTCGATATTTAGAATTTCTGCAAAACTTCTTGCTACCCGAACTGAATCGGCTGTTCCCAAACAGAACTGATTTGTGGCTGCAGCAAGATGGTGCGCCGCCACACTATGCTGTCGTGGTGAGACGCTACTTGAACAACGTCTTTCCAGATCGGTGGATAGGAAGAAGAGGAGCAATTGAATGGCCACCTAGGTCGCCAGATCTAACACCTCTGGATTTCTTTTTATGGGGATACTTGAAAAGTAAAGTTTACCAAAATAGACCACACAATATCCGTGATCTCAAAGACCGTATACGCATCGAGATGGGACGAATCACTCAGGACGTTATTGGCAGAGTTCGAGAAGAATTTACTGCTCGTCTATCCCACTGTCTTATAGCAGATGGTCGGCAGTTTGAACATTTGCTTTGAACTTGTTTGTATTCATTGAATGGGAATTTTCTTTTATTACTACAATTGTTTGTTAGAATAAAAACCCAAATTACTTGAAATCATTAATATGATTGGATAGGTAAATGAAACACCTTTCCAATGACATATCACATGACCCACATTTCCATTTAAAAAAATCATCGATGACGTCATCACGCTCACACCAATGACGTCATGCGTATCAAAAATATTTGACAGAATGCGCGTTCGATAATAAAAATCGACGGGTATCAGGATTTTTCTGTAGGGTCGCCTTATTACAAAATAATGAATTTATTCCATTCATTTGCACCATACTGTACATATATTTTTTTTCGATAAGAGAGGTATTGCTACAATATACTCGACAACCTACTTCGAATTAAGTAAGTTCCTACATTTACTCACGTGGAACATTTTGATGTTTTTTTGGAGTAACTTGAGTGACCACTCTTGCCTCCACGTTTTCTACTAGAGGCTCTTCAGCTGTTGAGGTACTTGCAATTGGCTCAGATGACTGCAGTGAACTTTCTGACTTCAGAGGCTTCACAGCTGTTGCGGTACTTGCATTAGACTCAGATGACATCAGTGAATCTGAAAGTTCAATAGATATTGATGAATTGGAATCAGATGTTACTGGATTGTTTTGAGATATTACCGTCTACTGATTCAGGTAGATGTAACTCGGGTAGAGCCGTCTCTAACAACCTCCCATTTGATGTGAAATCTGCTTCCACAAAGTGCTTTTTGCAAACTCAACAGTTATTATACACTTTTTCTTTATTCATCAAAAAAAAGGATGTTATTGCCACAACGTTTAACCCACGCTAAGAATCTTTGTTCATCAACGTCTGGATTGGGAAAACGATGTTTGCTTTCCTGAGAACCCCAACATCCTTGTACAGAACAGTATATTGGCACCATATTCACAAATACTTTCAATTACTTCTCAGCAGTGAAAAATTTCAACCGATGAAGGCTATTATACAATTTTCAAAGACAAAACAGAAAAATAAAAGCAGACAAACACAATAACACAGCACATAGATGGATATATAAAATCAAAATGGCTGGTGAAATGAATAGCATTGAACACTGTTGACAGTGCAGTGCGCATTATGACATGACATGACACACGCTCATAGCGCATCCTGTCGGTTTGTAAGGAACTAAACATTGGCACAGAACATTGTATTGAAGTGTCTTATCTACAGAGTAGAGATTGTCTATGAAAGCCAAGAGCCTACTGGACGCGTCCGGTGTGTCAGCAGCATAAGCGCATCAACACTGTCGACGCGCTGCGCGCGCTTGTCCACAGCGAACGTGTTGATCGAGAATATTTGAAGAAACATCTGAAGGTTTTCTACAATATCTTATTGGTGTTTCAATCAATCAAAGAAAGTGAATTGCTATTTTATTATCTGACTTTGATCGTCGATATCTCAATAACTATAGATCCTAGTCAAGGTCTCAATCGATTCAAGACATGTTTTACTAGGAAGTGAGATAATCTCAAGATTTTTTGCTTCGTGTTTATTTTCTTTCAGACCAAAACCATAATATGGTATATTATTCTCTACTAGGAAGTTACTTATTAGAATCCATTGGGGACATCGTGTGGCTGCCTATTAGTCAGCAGGGATGAAACAGGATAATTTGGTAAGTATCAC